ATACTGTGCTTATGGGAGATTCTAAAGAAAAGTTGCAAAGGTTAGTGGACGAGTTTGGGAGGGTGTGTAAACATAGAAAGTTGAAAGTGAACGTAGAAAAGAGTAAGGTGATGAGGGTATCAAATAATTTAGATAGAGAAAAATTGGATATCACATTGGAGAAAAGGAGAAATGGAAGAAGTGAATGTTTTCAGATATTTGGGAGTTGACTTGTCAGCAGATGGGTTTATGAAGGATGAGGTTAACCATAGAATTGATGAAGGAAAAAAAGGTGAGTGGTGTGTTGAAGTATCTGTGGAGACAAAAAACGTTATCCATGGAGGCAAAGAAGGGACTGTATGAAAGTATAGTCGTACCAACACTCTTATATGGGTGTGAAGCTTGGGTTGCAAATGCTGCAGCGAGGAGGCAGCTGGAGGCAGTGGAGATGTCCTGTCTAAGGGCAATGTGTGGTGTAAATATTATGCAGAGAATTCGGAGTGTGGAAATAAGGAGGAGGTGTGGAGTACTAAAAGTATTAATCAGAGGGCTGAAGAGGGGTTGTTGAGGTGGTTTGGTCATTTAGAGAGAATGGATTAAAGTAGAATGACTTGGAGAGTGTATAAATCTGTAGGGGAAGGAAGGCGAGGTAGGAGTCATCCTCGAAAAGGCTGGAGGGTGGGAGTATAGAAGGTTTTATGGGCGAGATGCTTGGACTTCCAGCAAGCATGTGTGAGCGTGTTAGATAGGAGTGAATGGAGACAAATGGTTTTTGGGACCTGACGAGCTGTTGGAGTGTGAGAAAGGTAATATTTAGTGAAGGGATTCAGGGAAACCGGTTATTTTTATATAGCCGGACTTGAGTAATGGAAACAGGAAGTACAATGCCTGCACTTTAAAGGAGGGGTTTGGGATACTGGCATTTTGGAGGGGTATGTTATATATGCTTCTAAACTGTTGCATCAGGGAGCCTCTGCAAAGACAGTGATGATGTGTGAGTGGGGTGAAAGTGTTGAATGATGATGAAAGTATTTTTTTGGGGGGGATTTTCTTTCTTTTTGGGTCACCCTGCCTCGGTGGGAGATGGCCGACTTGGAAAAAAAAAAAAAAAAAAAAAAAGGACAGTTCATGGCTAGCAATGTAGCATTAAATACCATGTATGATATTGCAGCTTTTGTTTTTATAACACACTGGCCATCTCCCACAGAGGTAGGATTACCCCCTCCCCAAAAAAAGATGAAACATTTAGTCATTCAAATGCTGTCTTGCCAGAAGTGCACTGACATCACAACTCAGATGCTCCTTCAAACTGTATCACCACCACCCCTGGAGTGTAGGCACTGTACTTCCCACCTCCTGTACTCGCCTTTTGCATCGTAAATACCATTAAAAACTTTTTTAATTTTTACAATACCATGTAACTTATCCTTATTTTACAGCACTTGTTTTTTCCAGACACCAATTTCTGCACATTCCTTACACATAACTTTTATTTTTATTTTAGGTTTGGTAGGATAAGATGCACATTTAGCCATAAATAAGCAAATTAAAAAGAAGTGTTTGGCAAACTCAGGTTCTTTTAAAATCTGCACACAAATCACATGTGGTGTGAGAAATTACATTATAACAGACTGAAGGCAGTTTGTTATAATGTAAGCTGCCAGTTATGGTCTCTCTGACAACACCTGCCACATTACAAAATTTTAATATGCCTGACTGGCCAAGAAAATGGTACCTGGAAAGTTACAATATGTTGACAATATTTAATTTCTCTATAGTAAAACTGATAAAATTTTAAACAAAACTGGATACTGAAAATTATTATTTTTCCAAACACAGGTGCAAATGCATGCAAGTTGCTAATACTTAAAAGAAATCATGAACACACTGATAAATCAGGTATTGCCCTCTCCAACACAGAGAGAGTCAAAGGCAAAGGTGTCTTTCTATATCAGGGAACTGGAAGCACATTTTTTCCATATTCAGTTTACAATATTCCTTAAACTGCATAAAAAACATACATCTCTTATATACAGCACATTTATTTTCCATTACAAATTTGGATTTTATTACATAAAACACTTATGAATACTATCTTTATAAGTTGCAAAAGCTCATTTCCTTAACTCAAACTAATATTATTCTGCTTCTATGATTAATAGTTGATAAACATGCATAGAACATGATAGTATATAATATTTAATCCTGTTACAGTCTTTTGTGTATATATATACATGTACCTGTACAGTATTTACCTGAGCAAGAACAAAGCTGAATACTAAATAAAAGAAAATACGAGAGTAAATCCTTCCATTTCTGTTACACGGCTCATCTTCTTCTTTCAACAAACTGGCCATATCCCACTAAGGCAGGGTGACCCAAAAAAACAAAAAACAAAAGTTTCTCTCGTTTTTTCAACAAATCGGCCGTATCCCACCAAGGCAGGGTGGCCCCGAAAAACAAAAACATAAGTTTCTCTTTTGAAATTTAGTAATTTATACAGGAGAAGGGGTTACTAGCCCCTTGCTCCCGGCATTTTAGTCACCTTAATATCAGCACTAGATTGCTTCTTATACTATACTTGAAGCACACAGCTGAGCTACATACTGGAATGCATCACAATTTTTTTTTTCTTATGTCCAAATGAGACATTTTACTATCTATATATGTACATTTTTTATAACCTATCTGGGAAATACTCTCAAGGATTTACAAAACATTTGAGATGTGTGAATATATATTACACAAGAGCGTTGTCCAAAATTAAGTGGTAGATAAAAATGGTACATGGAACTTTAAAATCACAATGTGATTATGCAAATTAAAGAATAAGATTGTGATTAATCCCATTGTTGTGCAAAATAGAGAAGTGGTAGTTGCAGGTGAAACAGTTCAGGATGCAAAATTTTAGTGGTGGGTGGGTGGGACATGCCACTGTTAGCATGACAAAATTATTGATTACAGATGAATGTAACCTGACCTTTACCAAAATGCATCAATGTGGCAGTGTCAACTGAGTAGATCATGGCTTAGGGCTAAGGTAATATAATTTAAATCACTGATGTATTAATGTTGATAGTAATGCCTTACAGATATATTTGGAATGTTATCAAAACTTCAAAAGGCATAAGGACACTCTCGTCTACAGTTTGCACAATGGTTATAAGCACTTTCATTAAAATTGTTACTGATACATATCTGGCCAATAAGTATAAATTAATATTGCTTAAAACATGCAAAAATTATAACAACCATGTAGGAAAAAATGGGAGAAGACTATCTGATAGATATTTGGTGTTGTTGCTCTGAATTAATCCTACATCTAAACACTTTCAATCTTTCTAATCCTTCTGACTATTTAATTAGTTTGGCATCATTATCTGACCTTTTTTTACAAGACCTAATTGCACTGAACCTACATATGTAATGAGATGATATCACTGTCTGATCTATAAAAAAAATACTGTAAATTAGCATCAAAAATAATTTCCTCCCATTTTCAGTTTTCTACAAACTCAGTATAATACTTTAGAATCATCTCTGAGGAATTTGGTCTCTATTGCTGGTAATTTCCAAGCATCCATTTATTGCATGTGGAAAAGAAATTTATATTACATTTTAAAACAGGTGGGCTGTGCAGCACCAGGTCTTCTAACATGCCAGTGCAGAGCTTCCTCAACTGTTATGTTTTACATTTATCTCAGCCTAAGAGATTAACACCATGTGTTTCACATAGGAAGCCTCAATGACTACACAAATTATAGAATAATCTCAGACAACCCATATCATTATTTCTTAAAAAATATGAGGAAGAAATTACATAATGCTTTTTCAGCATTATTTTGTGTAAGCTGATAATCATTATCTTTGTAACATTATTTAGCTAACTGAAACCTTCACAACAGTACTTCAACATTATCTTATGTTTACCTTATGCTGCTTCTGGGGGTCATCGCCCCCCAAGCTCAGTACCAGATCAGACCTCCTGGTTGCTGGCCTGATCAATTAGGCTGTTTGTGCTGGTGGCATACAGCCCAAAGTATAGCTCAGCTGATTAGGAACTGATATGAGGAACTTATAAACTTCCTGCTTGAAGACAGAGGTATTTTGGTAAATCCCCTTATACACTAACATAAAATTCAAATATATATCAGCATATATCATTTATCAAGTCACACTATTATTTACTTTGTAAAAATTTAAAACAAATGTTTCGTCTTCAATGGATTAAAAGTTGCAATGTGACATAGTGAGCATGATATTGATTAATGATCTTGGTACTGGGAACACAGGTTCTGCTCATTTAACCTTTGTCAAGCACATCATTGTATACTGCTTCTATTTTACAAGATTAAAATTTTTTTAATACTCTAATCTTTCAATATTGCACTTCTGGAGCTAAAATGTGGCAGTCCAACCATTTTAAATTGATAAAAAAGAAAGAATCATGAAATTCAATATTGCACTTTTGGAGCTAAAATGTGGCAGTCCAACCATTCTAAGTTGTTAAAAAAAAAAGAACATAAAATTGTATTTATAATTTGCTACAATATATCTCCATAAAAAGGAAGGCTGCCACAACAATTTGTAATGACTTCCACATATGTACAGTAATCCCTTGATATAATGGACTTTTAAAATTATGGGCAAAATCTAGTGGTCAAACTTTACTTTTAATGCCTTGATTTTCAATGTTTATTGTAATAAAAATGTAAATTGTGTACAGAACTGTATTAGGTGTACAGTACAGTGCTTTTTTTTTTTTTTTTTTTTTTTTGCTATTTTTTAACATTCTGATTTAATGGACACTTGCACAATCCCCTCCCTGTTAGTCCTCTATATCAAGGGTTTACTGTAACATGAAAAAACACAAACAAATCCTCCCTCTCCAAGTTTATCTGTATGTGACTTTATAAAGCCCAGTGTGGGTGAAACTGTCATTAAATGATTGCATTTTAATACAATTTTATGTTTTTATTGTGTCAAAATTGCATATTATCTCCTTTTCTAAATACCAATTTTTAATTATCTAAAACTGTTGCTTTAACCTTGGACTTGGGGTTCTGGATGTCATTTAGGCTTTGCACCAGCTTCAGTTCTAAGTGCCTCACTGTGAGAGATGAGTCTGTACCGGCCTCCACCTTGGCCATGTCCAAGGTGCGACGAAGAATAGCTTGCATAGTGTTAAGAGTGTTTTCAACAGCTTTCTGTAACAGATGATAAAAAATAAAGTATATATAAGTTTTTTTTTTTTTTTTTTTTTTTTTTTCAACAAGTCGGCCGTCTCCCACCGAGGCAGGGTGACCCAAAAAAGAAAGAAAATCCCCAAAAAGAAAATACTTTCATCATCATTCAACACTTTCACCACACTCGCACATTATCACTGTTTTTGCAGAGGTGCTCAGAATACAACAGTCTAGAAGCATACACATATAAAGATACACAACATATCCCTCCAAACTGCCAATATCCCAAACCCCTCCTTTAAAGTGCAGGCATTGTACTTCCCATTTCCAGGACTCAAGTCCGACTATATGAAAATAACCGGTTTCCCTGAATCCCTTCACTAAATATTACCCTGCTCACACTCCAACAGATCGTCAGGTCCCAAGTACCATTCGTCTCCATTCACTCCTATCTAACACGCTCACGCACGCTTGCTGGAAGTATATATAAGTAGCTCTTCATTATTCATTTACTGTTAATATGTAAATTCTGAGTAGAAAAATGGAATTCTGTGTTGATGCCCCATCAGGAATCACAACATCAGTACCATGGAATAAAGAGTGCTGTTTTTCACAATAAAAAGCTAGGTTACCAGGAAGGGTACAGCAGTCACACACAAATGCTATGGCCAATAAGATGGAAATTGGCCATTGCATTATCACCACAAAATTGCTATCCATATTATAATGCTAGTTGGTGATTTTCCAATGTACCCCATCCATGTTTTAAAAGACAAGGTTGTAATAATGCATGGAGTTGTGGTAGTTGGTGGGTGGGTAGGTGCTCACTTCAACTGAGTGGCACCAGCTGATACTTACTTCATGCAGTGAAGGATGTTACAGTACAATTTCCATACAGTATAATGGTAAGTAAATGTAGTACCCCAGTATAAATAAACATGCTACATACACACTTCACCAAAATATTTTCCTGCTGAAAACTATTTTTTGAAGAAAAATAAGCCACAATACCAGACTGGAATAATTGCAAGCAACCCATGCCCAGAGAGGAAATTTTATGTGATTTTTCAGTCCAACTTAGAGTTGTGATTGATAATGGGCAACATAGGCATATGAAGCGGTATTTTTCTGGGAATGGGTTAGGGCGGAAAAAATTTGTCCTGATTTTTACACACTGTATTTTACAGCGAATAAGACGTTCCAGTATCGAGAATGCCCCCCCCAAACTTAACAGTCGGGAACAATGTAATTCTGAATAACCAAAATAAAAAAAACACTCCAACAACAACCAGACTCCAGGTTGCTGACTGCTTCCCACCCTTTAATAACCCCTTCAGTTCATTCAGCTTGTAAAGTATATATTTTTTTTTTTCAACAAGTCGGCCGTCTCCCACCGAGGCAGGGTGACCCAAAAAAGAAAGAAAATCCCCAAAAAAGAAAATACTTTCATCATCATTCAACACTTTCACCTCACTCACACATAATCACTGTTTTTGCAGAGGTGCTCAGAACACAACAGTTTAGAAGCATATACGTATAAAGATACACAACATATCCCTCCAAACTGCTAATATCCTGAAACCCCTCCTTTAGAGTGCAGGCATTGTACTACTTCCCATTTCCAAGACTCAAGTCCGGCTATATAAAAATAACCGGTTTCCCTGAATTTTTTTTTTTTTTTATTATCACACCGGCCGATTCCCACCAAGGGAGGGTGGCCCGAAAAAGAAAAACTTTCACCATCATTCACTCCATCACTGTCTTGCCAGAAGGGTGCTTTACACTACAGTTTTTAAACTGCAACATTAACACCCCTCCTTCAGAGTGCAGGCACTGTACTTCCCATCTCCAGAACTCAAGTCCGGCCTGCCGGTTTCCCTGAATCCCTTCATAAATGTTACTTTGCTCACACTCCAACAGCACGTCAAGTATTAAAAACCATTTGTCTCCATTCACTCCTATCAAACACGCTCACGCATGCCTGCTGGAAGTCCAAGCCCCTCGCACACAAAACCTCCTTTACCCCCTCCCTCCAACCCTTCCTAGGCCGACCCCTACCCCGCCTTCCTTCCACTACAGACTGATACACTCTTGAAGTCATTCTGTTTCGCTCCATTCTCTCTACATGTCCGAACCACCTCAACAACCCTTCCTCAGCCCTCTGGACAACAGTTTTGGTAATCCCGCACCTCCTCCTAACTTCCAAACTACGAATTCTCTGCATTATATTCACACCACACATTGCCCTCAGACATGACATCTCCACTGCCTCCAGCCTTCTCCTCGCTGCAACATTCATCACCCACGCTTCACACCCATATAAGAGCGTTGGTAAAACTATACTCTCATACATTCCCCTCTTTGCCTCCAAGGACAAAGTTCTTTGTCTCCACAGACTCCTAAGTGCACCACTCACTCTTTTTCCTCATCAATTCTATGATTCACCTCATCTTTCATAGACCCATCCGCTGACACGTCCACTCCCAAATATCTGAATACGTTCACCTCCTCCATACTCTCTCCCTCCAATCTGATATTCAATCTTTCATCACCTAATCTTTTTGTTATCCTCATAACCTTACTCTTTCCTGTATTCACCTTTAATTTTCTTCTTTTGCACACCCTACCAAATTCATCCACCAATCTCTGCAACTTCTCTTCAGAATCTCCCAAGAGCACAGTGTCATCAGCAAAGAGCAGCTGTGACAACTCCCACTTTGTGTGTGATTCTTTATCTTTTAACTCCACGCCTCTTGCCAAGACCCTCGCATTTACTTCTCTTACAACCCCATCTATAAATATATTAAACAACCACGGTGACATCACACATCCTTGTCTAAGGCCTACTTTTACTGGGAAAAAATTTCCCTCTTTCCTACATACTCTAACTTGAGCCTCACTATCCTCGTAAAAACTCTTCACTGCTTTCAGTAACCTACCTCCTACACCATACACTTGCAACATCTGCCACATTGCCCCCCTATCCACCCTGTCATACGCCTTTTCCAAATCCATAAATGCCACAAAGACCTCTTTAGCCTTATCTAAATACTGTTCACTTATATGTTTCACTGTAAACACCTGGTCCACACACCCCTACCTTTCCTAAAGCCTCCTTGTTCATCTGCTATCCTATTCTCCATCTTACTCTTAATTCTTTCAATTATAACTCTACCATACACTTTACCAGGTACACTCAACAGACTTATCCCCCTATAATTTTGCACTCTCTTTTATCCCCTTTGCCTTTATACAAAGGAACTATGCATGCTCTCTGCCAATCCCTAGGTACCTTACCCTCTTCCATACATTTATTAAATAATTGCACCAACCACTCCAAAACTATATCCCCACCTGCTTTTAACATTTCTATCTTTATCCCATCAATCCCGGCTGCCTTACCCCCTTTCATTTTACCTACTGCCTCACGAACTTCCCCCACACTCACAACTGGCTCTTCCTCACTCCTACAAGATGTTATTCCTCTTGCCCTATACACGAAATCACAGCTTCCCTATCTTCATCAACATTTAACAATTCCTCAAAATATTCCTTCCATCTTCCCAATACCTCTAACTCTCCATTTAATAACTCTCCTCTCCTATTTTTAACTGACAAATCCATTTGTTCTCTAGGCTTTCTTAACTTGTTAATCTCACTCCAAAACTTTTTCTTATTTTCAACAAAATTTGTTGATAACATCTCACCCACTCTCTCATTTGCTCTCTTTTTACATTGCTTCACCACTCTCTTAACCTCTCTGAATCCCTTCACTAAATATTACCCTGCTCTCACACCAACAGATCGTCAGGTCCCAAATACCATTTGTCTCCATTCACTCCTATCGAACACGCTCATGCACGCCTGCTGGAAGTCCAAGCCCCTCGCCCACAAAACCTCCCTTACCCCTACCTTCCAACCTTTTTGAGGACGACCCCTACCCTGTTTTCCTTCTACCGATTTAAATGCTCTCCATGTCATTCTACTTTGATCCATTCTCTCTAAATCACAAACCACCTCAACAACCCCTCTTCAGCCCTCTCATTATACTTTTATTAGCTCCACACCTTCTCCTAATTTCCACACTCCGAATTTTCTGCATAATATTTACACCACACATTGCCCTTAGACAGGACATCTCCACTGCCTCCAACCGTCTCCTCGCTGCTGCATTCACAACCCAAGCTTCACACCCATATAAGAGTGTTGGTACTACTATACTTTCATACATTCCCTTCTTTGCCTCCATAGGTAACGTTTTTTGACCCCACATATACCTCAACGCACCACTCACCTTTTTTCCCTCATCAATTCTATGATTAACCTCATCCTTCATAAATCCATCCGCCGACACATCAACTCCCAAGTATCTGAAAACATTCACTTCTTCCATACTCCTCCTTCCCAATTTAATATCCAATTTTTCTTTATCTAAATCATTTGATGCCCTCATCACCTTACTCTTTTCTATGTTCACTTTCAAATTTCTACCTTTACACACACTCCCAAACTCATCCACTAACCTTTGCAATTTTTCTTTAGAATCTCCCATAAGCACAGTATCATCAGCAAAAAGTAACTGTGTCAATTCCCATTTTGTATTTGGTTCCCCATAATTTAATCCCACCCCTCTCCCCAACACCCTAGCATTTACTTCTTTTACAACCCCATCTATAAAAATATTAAACAACCATGGTGACATTACACATCCCTGTCTAAGACCTACCTTTACTGGGAAGTAGTCTCCCTCTTTTCTACACACCCTAACTTGAGCCTCACTATCCTCATAAAAACTCTTTACAGCATTTAATAACTTACCACCTATTCCATATACTTGCAACATCTGCCACATTGCTCCCCTATCCACTCTATCATATGCCTTTTCTAAATCCATAAAAGCAATAAAAACTTCCCTACCCTTATCTAAATACTGTTCACATACATGCTTCAATGTAAACACTTGATCTACACATCCCCTACCCACTCTTAAACCTCCTTGCTCATCTGCAATCCTACATTCTGTCTTATCTCTAATTCTTTCAATTATAACCCTACCGTACACTTTTCCTGGTATACTCAGTAAACTTATTCCTCTATAATTTTTACAATCTCTTTTATCCCCCTTCCCTTTATATAAAGGGACTATACATGCTCTCTGCCAATCCCTAGGTACCTTCCCCTCTTTCATACATTTATTAAACAAAAGTACCAACCACTCCAACACTATATACCCCCCTGCTTTTAACATTTCTGTCATGATCCCATCAGTTCCAGCTGCTTTACCCCCTTTCATTCTACATAATGCCTCACGTACCTCCCCCACACTTACATTCTGCTCTTCTTCACTCCTAAAAGATGGTATACCTCCCTGGCCAGTGCATGAAATTACCGCCTCCCTTTCTTCCTCAACATTTAAAAGTTCCTCAAAATATTCTCGCCATCTACCTAATACCTCCATCTCTCCATCTACTAACTCCCCTACTCTGTTTTTAACTGACAAATCCATACGTCCCCTAGGCTTTCTTAACTTGTTTAACTCACTCCAAAATTTTTTCTTATTTTCATTAAAATTTCTTGACAGTGCCTCTCCCACTCTATCATCTGCTCTCCTTTTGCACTCTCTCACCACTCTCTTCACCTTTCTTTTACTCTCCATATACTCTGCTCTTCTTATAACACTTCTGCTTTGTAAAAACCTCTCATAAGCTAACTTTTTCTCTTTTATCACACCCTTTACTTCATCATTCCACCAATCACTCCTCTTTCCTCCTGCCCCCACCCTCCTATAACCACAAACTTCTGCCCCACATTCTAATACTGCATTTTTAAAACTATTGCAACCCTCTTCAACCCCCCGACTACTCATCTTTGCACTAGCCCACCTTTCTGCCAATAGTCGCTTATATCTCACCCGAACTTCCTCCTCCCTTAGTTTATACACTTTCACCTCTCTCTTACTTGTTGTTGCCACCTTCCGTTTGTCCCATCTACCTCTTACTCTAACTGTAGCTACAACTAAATAATGGTCCGATATATCAGTTGCCCCTCTATAAACATGTACATCCTGGAGCCTACCCATCAACCTTTTATCCACCAATATATAATCTAACAAACTACTTTCATTACGTGCTACATCATACCTTGTATATTTATTTATCCTCTTTTTCATAAAATATGTATTACTTATTACCAAATCTCTTTCTACACATAGCTTAATTAAAGGCTCCCCATTTACATATACCCCTGGCACCCCAAATTTACCTACTACTCCCTCCATAACATTTTTACCCACTTTAGCATTGAAATCCCCAACCACAAGTACTCTTACATTTGGTTCAAAACTCCCCACGCATTCACTCAACATTTCCCAAAATCTCTCTCCCTCGTCTACATTTCTCTCTTCTCCAGGTGCATATACGCTTACTATAACCCACTTTTCGCATCCAACCTTTATTTTACTCCACATAATCCTTGAATTAATACATTTATAGTCCCTCTTTTCCTGCCATAGCTTATCCTTCAACATTATTGCTACTCCTTCTTTAGCTCTAATTCTATTTGAAACCCCTGACCTAATCCCATTTATTCCTCTCCACTGAAACTCTCCCACCCCCTTCAGCTTTGTTTCACTTAAAGCCAGGACATCCAGCTTCTTCTCATTCATAACATCCACAATCATCTCTTTCTTATCATTTGCACAACATCCACGCACATTCAGACTTCCCACTTTGACAATTTTCTTTTTATTCTTTTTAGTAATCTTTACAGGAAAAGGGGTTACTAGCCCCCTGTTCCCGGCATTTTAGTTGACTTTTACAACACGCATGGCTTATGGAGGAAAGATTCTTATTCCACTTCCCCATGGATATAAAAGGAAAAGTAATAAGACCAAGAACTATTAAGATAAACTCAAAGAAAACTTATTATTATTATTATTATTTAACAAGTCTCCACAGACAGGACTAGAGCAACTGTTTCCTGCATCAGTGTCTCACACAGACAATGTTTTTAATATACATAGGCTATCTATCACCAAGGTAGGATGACCCAGAGACATGCTGACATTTAGTTCAGATGACACCCTCCAAACTGTGACTTCCCTCACCTCTCCTTCAGGCATTATACTTCCCATCTCAAGGACTGAAGTCAAACCACCTGATTTTCCTGAATCCCTTTATAAATGTTACCTAGCTCCCATTCCAGCAACACATCAAATCATGAAAACCACTTGCCTCCACTCATTCCTAACATACTCACACATATCTGTTGGATGTCTAGGCCCATCACAAACAAAATCTCCTTTACTCACTCCCTCCAAACTTTCCTGGATGACACTTACCCCTCCTTCCCTCCACTTCAGATTTATACACACTCCTAGCCATCCTATTTTTCTCCATCTTCTCTAAATGTTCAAACCACCTCTAGAACTCTTCCTCATCTCTCCGAATAATACTTTCAGTAACCCCACACCTCCTCGTAATCTCTAACTATGAATTCTCTCATAATATTCACACCACACACTGAACTTAAGGGACTACATCTGGTGTCAAATATTATGCACAACAAATTAGGAAGAGGTGCAAAGTTACTTAAAGTATTAGTTATACAGAGGGCCGAGCAGAGGTTGTTGAAGTGGTCTGGACATTTTGAGAGGATGGCACAAAATAGGGAGAGACAAGTGCTGGCCAAGTCTGTATTTTTTCTCTTTTTTTTTTTTTTTTGACCAAATTTAATTCTGTTTTTTTTTTTGTACGTGATCATTTGGTAAACATCCATCAAGAAATGTGATATTTGCAGTCTCGAAGCATATTCCAATGTTTTGCATGCTATACTACTGGATTTGATTTATGTAACTATATTTTATTCACTATGGGCTAAGGCACCTGTTTACAATGCTCGTCATTAAAGTCGGCCTCTTCTAAAACCCTGACCATAAGATAGGTCATCCTTTGAGCTTAAGGACATCCTCCAACAATCTAGGAAGTGACTAACAAACATTCTTTAGGGTTTTATGGGGTAAATTCCCCTACAACTCCTAGATGGCATCATAAAAACTGTGGGAGTGAACCGATATCCTTACCCTAATAGATCTCTCACAACCCAGCGGCTCTCAATGGGGGTTCAAGTCTGGGAAATATCCTGGCCAATCATCAAAGAAGGGTGCCTCACAGTCACAAAGCCACTGAAAAACAGATTTCAGGATCTGGAAAGGAGCATTAGCTTGCATAAAAGCCATGCACCATACTGTGTGAAAGATTCAGGCAAATAACAGCAGAGCAATTACAGATAAATTTTTACAATAAACACAAGTGGGAACATTTTCCGAGGCTTCCTTGGGCATATTTTTGGTATGGGCATGTCATGAACAATATTCTTAAGAAACCAATGCAACCAGGTCATCACTGGATGCTCACCCCCATTGCTAGCTTCTGCTATTTCCTTCATTTGGTGGCCTGCCTTAAGTAATCTAATGATATTTGCAATTGTCTCCTGTAAGTGACTTACTCCTGCTCATAATGATTCAATAACCAAAAAATGTTCAACAAACTCAACCCTCAAGACACACAATGCAGGGAAACCACAAACACAATACCATCCACCACACAAGCCTAGAAGGCACTTAAGATAAAGCCAGTAGCCTAAGGGAATCCTGAAACATTCTGTTTTGAGTTGAAAGGCAAGCATAACTTTTTGCCTCATTGACAAACCTATCAGAGTGGGGTATTACTTTGAATGCTGATGTATGCCTTTCACCCAGTGTACTTGAATGATGAGCACTGTATATGTTTTACTAAGTAGACCATTTTTCAATAAAGTGAAGTAACCCAAAAAAGGAAACACCTTCACCATGATGTGTTTTGCCAGAAGTAGTCAGACATCACAGTTCAAATGATCTTCAATGATGCACATTTATTCCTGCTCTTCTGTTATAAAACAAGGCAATAATGGCATTTCAAAAATAAAGCAGCTCAATATACTCAACAACTACACTATGGTAATAAAAATAGGAATGAAAATAACAAGATAAAATGTGTTAATTATTATAAAACTGAGTCAATGAAACATACCTTCAGATTGTTATGTGTGTGGTGCATCCAGCCCAATAGTAAGGCAGCAAACAGATCACCAGTGCCTGTAAAGTTGGCTGGCAGGCGTGGAATATGCACGTTAAGTCTGTTTTGACTCCCATCTAAAAGTATGCAGGATTATTAAAAGAAAGGAAATAAAACTGCAGTAAATCCTCAATGTAACAGACCTTGATATAACAAACGTTTAAAATTATGGGCAAAATTCACTGACAAAATTGTACTTGTAATTCCTTTATTTTTAATGTTTATTGTAATTTAACTGTAAACTGAGGATACAATACTATACAGTGGACCCCCGCATAACGATGGCATCACATAGCGATTATTTCGCATACCGCTTACTTTAATCGCAAAATTTTTGCCGCGCATACCGATTAAAAACCCGCTCACCGATTTTCGTCCGAGACGCGTCCAATGTGCGCCCTCAGCCAGCCTCACATGTGCCGCCCGTGCCATTGTTTACCAGCCAGCCTCCGCGGTAACATCCAAGCATACACTCGGAATATTTCGTATTATTACAGTGTTTTCGGTGCTGTTTCTGGAAAATAAGTGACCATGGGCCCCAAGAAAGCTTCTAGTGCCAACCCTACACCAATAAGGGTGAGAATTCCCATTGAAATGAAGAAAGAGATCATTGATAAGTATGAAAGTGGAGTGCGTATCGCCGACCTAGTCAAGTTGTACAAGAAACCCCAATCAACCATCGCTACTATTGTGGGCACCAAAAAGACAATCAAGGAAGCTGTTCTTGCCAAAGGTTTAACTGTGTTTTCGAAACAAAGATCGCAAGTGATGGAAGATGTTGAGAGACTCTTATTGGTGTGGAAAAATGAAAAACAGCTAGCAGGAGATAGCGTCTCTCAAGCGATCATATGTGAAAAGGCTAGGAAGTTGCATGAGGATTTAATTAAAAAAATGCCTGCAACTAGTGATGATGTGAGTGAATTTAAGGCCAGCAAAGGTTGGTTTGAGAGATTTAAGAAGCGTAGTGGCATCCATAGTGTGATAAGGCATGGTGAGGCTGCCAGTTCGGACCACAAAGCGGCTGAAAAATATGTGCAGGAATTCAAGGAGTACATAGAAACTGAAGGACTGAAACCTGAACAAGTGTTTAATTGTGATGAAACAGGCCTGTTCTGGAAGAAAATGCCAAGCAGGACCTACATTACTCAGGAGGAAAAGGCACTCCCAGGACATAAGCCTATGAAAGACAGGCTTACTCTTCTCATGTGTGCCAATGCTACTGGTGATTGCAAAGTGAAGCCTTTATTAGTGTATCACTCTGAAACTCCCAGAGCGTTCAGGCAAAAGAATGTCCTCAAGGATAATTTGTGTGTGCTGTGGAGGGCAAACAGTAAGGCATGGGTCACTAGGGAATTTTTCTATAACTGGTTACACCATGCATTTGCCCCCAATGTGAAAGATTACCTAACTGAAAAGAAATTAGAACTTAAGTGCCTCCTGGTGTTAGACAATGCCCCTGGTCATCCTACAGACGTGGCAGAGCGACTTTATGGGGACATGAGCTTCATTAATGTGAAGTTTTTGCCTCCTAATACCACTCCTCTCCTGCAGCCCATGGACCAGCAGGTTATTTCCAACTTCAAGAAACTGTACACAAAAGCTCTGTTTGAAAGGTGCTTTGTAATGACCTCAGAAACTCAACTGACTCTAAGAGAGTTTTGGAGAGATCACTTTAATATCCTCAATTGTGTAAACCTTATAGGTAAGGCTTGGGAGGAAGTGACTAAGAGGACCTTGAACTCTGCTTGGAAGAAACTGTGGCCAGAATGTGTAGACAAAAGGGATTTTGAAGGGTTTGAGGCTAACCCTGAGATGATTATGCCAGTTGAGGAATCCATTGTGGCATTGGGAAAGTCCTTGGGGTTGGAGGTTAGTGGGGAGGATGTGGAAGAGTTGGTGGAGGAGGACAATGAAGAACTAACCACTGATGAGCTGATAGATCAACTTCAAGAGCAAGAGGCCAGACCTGGGGAAACTGGTTCAGAGGAGGGGAGAGAGAAATTGAAGAAGTTGCCTACTACAAAGATAAAGGAAATCTGTGCAAAGTGGCTTGAAGTGCAAACCTTCATGGATGAAAATCACCCTCACACAGCTATTGCAAGCCGTGTTGGCAACCTGTACACTGACAATGTTGTGAAACACTTTAGGGAAGTCATAAAGGAACGAGAGGTACAGGCCACTATGGACAGATATCTTGTGCGAAAGAAGTCCAGTGACTCTGAAGCTGGCCCTAGTGGCATTAAAAGAAGAAGGGAAGTAACCCCAGAAAAGGACTTGCTACCTCAAGTCCTAATGGAAGGGGATTCCCCTTCTAAACAGTAAGAAGATAATGCTCTCCCCTCCTCCCATCCCATCAATCATCACCAGATCTTCAATAAAAGTAAGTGTCATGTAAGTGTGCATGCCTTTTTCAGTTTGTGTGTATTAAAATTAACATTTCATGTGGTAAAAAATTTTTTTTTTCATACTTTTGGGTGTCTTGCACGGATTAATTTTATTTCCATTATTTCTTATGGGGAAAATTCATTCACATAACGATTATTTCGCATAACAATTACCCCTCTTGCACGGATTAAAATCGTTAACCGGGGGTCCACTGTATTAGGTTTACAGGAGAGTATTTTAGTGCTATTTTCTAATATTATTCCAGTTTAATAGGCACTCGGATAATTCTCCTTATTAGTCTGTTATATCTAGAGCTTACTGTATCACAGAAAATAGGGCCTTTTGTTAAACAGTATTTGCAGTGGAGGCCACATGGTAGGCTGGCACTTTTTTTTTTAAGTTCTTACCATCCTACACACAATATAGGATTTTTTTCCTAGAACTTTTCCTAGCGTGTACAAAACTTCTTACTTGCTTACTTTAAATGTCTTCCCCATGCATTTACTGTGCTGTATTATACATAATACAATCTTCATCATCAAAGAAATACAGTAATAACAATTTGAAAGAAGATTTCTTCACTAATTATAAAGACAAACAGCATCCACAAGTGTTGGATACATCTTGAGCAGTCTTACTGAGTCACTACTATGCCAAGCTATAAGGAAATGGTACATGAATAAAGTGAGGAGTCGAGTCTGTTGTGAATATGATCAATACAAAAAATAACTTTTGTATTGGATTATTAATGTCAAGACTTATACATGCATACCTAGCTAATAAGACAGGTTCCAGACTACTGCTGTAAAGTGAATATTGCCTTAAATTGAATCACAGCCTTCTTTATCACTTGCTCATGCTTCTAAAAGCATGTTTACACTATCATTTATCATGTGTGCAATAAAGGCAGGTCTGAAAGAACAATGAAAAAATAAAAATAAATAAAAAAATGGTGCCGGTTAGCTGAAGTGTGTTACTGCCGAAAACATTAAACATGAATATAATTGAAAAGCACCGCATTAGTGAAGTTCTCTAAAGCGAAGTATCGTATTAGTGAGGTATGCCTGTAGGTACCCTTGACTTTACACATCACACATTAATCATAGATACCTGGAGAGTATACATGGAGAGGTTTTGAGGGTCAATGCCACCATGGTCCAGTCTGAGACCAGGCCTTGTGGTGGATCAGAGCCTGATCAACCAGGCTGTTAGTGCTGGCCGCATGTAAACCGATGTGCGAACCACAGCCTAGCTGATCAGCATCCACCACAAATTTATTTTCAGAGCCAAGGTTAGTACTAAGTGAGTTTTACATGACCTTTCAACTACTCATGGTAATACTGTACAAGTGAGTTTAACTTGATATATCACATACTAATGACAATACAAGTGATATTTACTCAACACAACACTTACTTATCATAGATGAAGCCATCCCCAGGAGTTCACTCTCAGAGCCAAGGTCAGTACTGGAAAGGACAACTGTCTTCACTCCTTGCTTGTGGAACCATTCCATCACAGCTACTGCATCTTCTTCATTCTTGATCTTTTGTTCGCTTAAAAGTCTGTTAATGTGAAACATTATGTAAGTGTTATTACGAGGCAAAATCCAGACAAGCCTGGCTTATAGCTGGGCTCTGGAAGTAGAAAAACTCTTGGAACTCATCAAAGGTATATCTAAGGTATGATGTCTACAACCCACTACATAAAATTTGATTAATATTTTTTCCAGCTTTGAATTATTTTTGAACATGTTGGTTGTGTCACATTGAGGTAAAAAGCTAGTGAGGGAAAAATGGGCAACTAAAAATTATTTTGATAAATGGTGAATTTTCTAGGTAGTAGGTTGGTAGACAGCAACACCCAGGGAGGTACTACCGTCCTGCCAAGTGAGTGTGAAACGGAAACCTGTAATTGTTTTACATGATGGTAGGATTGCTGGTGTCTTTTTTCTGTCTCATAAACATGCAAGATTTCAGGTACGTCTTGCTACTTCTTCTTACACTTAGGTCACACTACACATACATGTACAAGCATATATATATATATATACAGTGGACCCTCAACCAGCGATGGCATCGATTAACGATAAATCTGACTAGCGATACATTTTAACGCAAAAATTTTGCCTCGACTAGTGCTTAAAAACCCGACCAGCGCTATTCGTTCCGTACCATAGGCGTCCACTTTGGCCTGAGTGCGCCTCACTTGTCCCTTGGGTGCCAGTGTTTACAAGCCAGCCAGCCACCGCGGTCGCTTCCAAACATACAATTGGAACATTTCATATTATCACAGCCTTTGTAGTGATTGCACCTGCAAAATAAGTCACCATGGGCCCCAAGAAAGCTTCTAGTGCCAACCCTACAGCAAAAAGGGTGAGAATTACTATGGAGATGAAGAAAGAGATCATTGCTAAGTATGACAGTGGAGTGCATGTCTCTGAGCTGGTCAGGTTGTATAATAAACCCCAATCAACCATTGCTACTATTGTGGGTAAGAAAACGGCAATCAAGGAAGCTGTTCTTGCCAAAGGTGCAACTATGTTTTCGAAACTGAGATCGCAAGTGATAGAAGATGTTGAGAGACTGTTATTGGTGTGGATAAACGAGAAACAGATAGCAGGAGACAGCATCTCTCAAGCGATCGTATGTGAAAAGGCTAGGAAGTTGCATGACGATTTAATTACAAAAATGCCAGCAACTAGTGATGTGAGTGAATTTAAGGCCAGCAAAGGTTGGTTTGAGAGATTTAAGAAGCGTAGTGGCATTCATAGTGTGATAAGGCATGGTGAGGCTGCCAGTTCGGACCACAAATCGGCTGAAAAATATGTGCAGGACTTCAAGGAGTACATAGACAGTGAAGGACTGAAACCTGAACAAGTGTTTAATTGTGACGAAACAGGCTTGTTTTGGAAGAAAATGCCAAGCAGGACCTACATTACTCAGGAGGAAAAAGCACTCCTAGGACATAAGCCTATGAAAGACAGGCTTACTCTGTTGATGTGTGCAAAGTGAAGCCTTTATTGGTGTATCACTCTGAAACTCCCAGAGTGTTCAGGAAAAACAATGTCCTCAAGGCTAATTTGTGTGTGCTGTGGAGGGCAAACAGTAAGGCATGGGCCACTAGGGACTTTTTCTATGACTGGTTACACCATGCATTTGCCCCCACTGTGAAAAATTACCTAATTGAAAAGAAATTAGACCTTAAGTGTCTCCTGGTATTAGACAATGCTCCTGGTCATCCTTCAAACATGGTAGAGCGACTTTCTGCAGAAATGAGCTTCATTAAGGTCAAGTTTTTGCCTCCTAATAACACTCCTCTCCTGCAGCCCATGGACCAGCAGGTCATTTCCAACTTCAAGAAACTGTACACAAAAGCTATGTTTGAAAGGTGCTTTGTAGTGACCTTAGAAACTCAATTGACTCTAAGAGAGTTTTGGAGAGATCACTTTAGCATCCTCAATTGTGTAAACATTATAGGTAAGGTTTTGGGAGGAAGTGACTAAGAGGACCTTGTACTCTGCTTGGAAGAAACTGTGGCCAGAATGTGTAGACAAAAGGGATTTTGAAGAATTTGAGGCTAACCCTGGGAATCCTATACCAGTTGAGGAATCCATTGTGGCATTGGGGAAGTCCTTGGGGTTGGAGGTTAGTGGGGAGGATGTGGAAGATTTTGGTGGAGGGGGACAATGAAGAACTAACCACTGATGAGCTGCTAGATCATCTTCAACAGCAAGAGGCCACACCTGAGAAAACTGCTTCGGAGGAGGGGATAGAGAAATTGAAGAAGTTGCCAACTTCAATGATTAAGGAAATGTGTGCAATGTGGCTTAAAGTGCAAACCCTTTTTGATGAAAATCACCCTCACACAGCTATTGCAAGCCATGCTGGTGACTATTACACTGGCAATGTTGTGAAACACTTTAGGAATGTCATAAAGGAACGGGAGGTACAGGCCTCTATGGACATATATGTTGTGCGACAAAGTCCAGTGACTCTCAGCTGGTCCAAAGGGCATTAAAAGAAAAGGGAAGTAACCCCGGAAAAGGACTTGCCACCTCAAGTCCTAATGGAAGGGGATTCCCCTTCTAAACATTAACACCATCCACAGTCTCCCCTCCTCCCATCCCATCAATCATCACCAGATCTTCAGTAAAGGTAAGTGTCATGTAACTGTGCATGTCTTCTTCAGTTTGTGTGTATTAAAATTAATATTTCATGTGGTAAAATTTTTTTTTTTGTTCATACTTTGGGGTGTCAGGAACGGATTAATTTTATTTCCATTATTTCTTATGGGAAAAATTAGTTCGCCTAACATTGAGCTCTCAGGAACGGATTAATAGCGTTAGGCGAGGGTCCACTGTACTTTATTTCTACATGATATATAAGAGAGAGGGAGATCATTTTCCAGTAAAAGTAGCTCTTAAACGGGGATGAATGATGTTACCACGATTCTTTAACATAATAACAGATGGGGGTTGCAAAAGAAGTGAATGCTAAGGCAATTTGGGAGGTAAGAATTTTAAAGGTAAAAAATCTAATACAATGCAGTTGCTTTTTGTCACTGAAATGGTGCTTTTAGGAGAATCTGAAGAGAAGTCACAAAAGTTTGTAAACAAATTTGGGGGAATACGTAAATGTTGTGGATGTTGTGCAAATGATAAGAAAGATGATTGTGGATGTTATGAATGAGAAGAAACTGGATGTCCTGGCTTTATGTGAAACAAAGCTGAAGGGGGTGGGAGAGTTTCAATGGAGAGGAATAAATGGGATTAGGTCAGGGGTTTCAAATAGAGTTAGAGCTAAAGAAGGAGTAGCAATAATGTTGAAGGATAAGTTATGGCAGGAAAAGAGGGACTACAAATGAATAAATTCAAGGATTATGCGGAGTAAATTAAAGATTGAATGTGAAAAGTGGGTTATAGTAAGTGTGTATGCACCTGGAGAAGAGAGAAGTGTAGAGGAAGAGAGAGAGATTTTGGGAAATTTTTGAGTGAAGCATGGGGAGTTTTGAATCAAGTGTGAGAGTAATGGTGGTTGGGGATTTCAATGCTAAAGTGGATAAAAATGTTATGGAGGGAGTAGTAGGTAAATTTGGGGTGCCAGGGGTAAATGTAAATGGGGAGCCTTTAATTGAGCTATGTTATTTTTTTTTTTTTATTATCACACCGGCCGATTCCCACCAAGGCAGGGTGGCCCGAAAAAGAAAAACTTTCACCATCATTCACTCCATCACTGTCTTGCCAGAAGGGTGCTTTACACTACAGTTTTTAAACTGCAACATTAACACCCCTCCTTCAGAGTGCAGGCACTGTACTTCCCATCTCCAGGACTCAAGTCCGGCCTGCCGGTTTCCCTGAATCCCTTCATAAATGTTACTTTGCTCACACTCCAACAGCACGTCAAGTATTTAAAAAACCCTTTGTCCCCCATTCACTCCTATCAAACACGCTCACGCATGCCTGCTGGAAGTCCAAGCCCTCGCACACAAAACCTCCTTTACCCCCTCCCTCCAACCCTTCTAGGGCCGACCCCTACCCGCCTTCCTTCCACTACAGACTGATACACTCTTGAAGTCATTCTGTTTCGCTCCATTCTCTCTACAGTCCGAACCACCTCAACAACCCTTCCTCAGGGCCCTCTGGACAACAGTTTTTGGTAATCCCGCACCTCCTCCTAACTTTTCCCAAAAAAACGAATTCTCTGCACTAATTCACACCACACATTGCCCTCAGACATGACATCTCCACTGCCTCCAGCCTTCTCCTCGCTGCAACATTCATCACCCACGCTTCACACCCAATAAGAGCGTTGGTAAAACATACTCTCATACATTCCCCTCTTGCCTCCAAGGACAAAGTTTTTTTGTCTCCACAGACTCCTAAGTGCACCACTCACTCTTTTTTCCCCCATCAATTCTATGATTCACCTCATCTTTCATAGACCCATCTGCTGACACGTCCACTCCCAAATATCTGAATACGTTCACCTCCTCATACTCTCCCTCCAATCCCGATATTCAATCTTTCATCACCTAATCTTTTTGTTATCCTCATAACCTTACTCTTTCCTGTATTCACCTTTAATTTTCTTCTTTTGCACACCCCACCCAAAATTTATCCACCAATCTCTGCAACTTCTCTTCAGAATCTCCCCAAAAGCACAGTGCATCAGCAAAGAGCAGCTGTGACAACTCCCACTTTGTGGTGATTTTTTATCTTTTAACTCCACGCCTCTTGCCAGGGCCCTCGCATTTACTTCTCTTACAACCCCATCTATAAATATATTAAACAACCACGGTGACATCACACATCCTTGTCTAAGGCCTACTTTTACTGGGAAAAAATTTTTCCCCCTTTCCTACATACTCTAACTTGAGCCTCACTATCCTCGTAAAAACTCTTCACTGCTTTCGTAACCTACCTCCTACACCATAAAACTTGCAACATCTGCCACATTGCCCCCCTATCCACCCTGTCATAAAGCCTTTTCCAAATCCATAAAAGCCACAAAGACCCTCTTTAGCCTTTTCTAAATACTGTTCACTTATATGTTTCACTGTAAAC